TAAAAATTACATCATTTAAAAAAACTACAATATCAATTATATACATTATTTTAATAAAAAGAAAATCACAAAAGTAAAATAAAATATGTCATTTTTAGTCCTACTGATTTTTAAATGCAGCGTGAGAGGAAGATGACAGTGTGATGTGCTCATATTTGTCTCTGCAGGGATTCATACATGGCAGTGGACGATCGGCTGTAAACTGCATGATGATGGAACCAAGAGTGGATACAGCCGGTTTGGTTACGATGGAGAAGATTTCCTCAGTCTGGATCTGAACACTCTCACCTGGACTGCAGCCAATGATAAAGCTCTTATTATAAAACAGGAGTGGGAGAAGACGGATAAAGCCAAAGGCCATAAGACCTTTCTGGAGACTGAATGTATCGAGTGGTTACAGAAATATGTGTATTATGGCAGAGAAACTCTGGAGAGGAAAGGTAAAGTGTGTGAGCTGATCTGTTTCTGTTACTGTGCTGATCTAAGCTTTACTGGGGCCCTGAGCAAAACTTCATTCATCCATAACCTCAACTTAGACCACACATCTACATCCTCCACCAGCACACCCTTAATTCCCTTTATAACAGTCTTCTGCTGATGATGTTAACACAGTAGTTCTTCTGCTATGTTTACCTACTTGAATAATTTACTGATAAAAAATCTTTACTTTTTTTGGCAAATGATCATAAGAAAGCTCACGGATAACCTCATGATTACTTCTCGTTATGACACTCCTGGGACATTAGGAGATCTTTATAAGTCTGGCTAAGTTAGCTACATTCACAGAATGATTATGGTGACAACCAGTTACCACAATGTGAAGTTCAGCTCAAAGGATTCTTTTAGCTAGCTAGTAAAACTAACTTTAGTAAACTGATGATAAGCTCTTTTCAGATTTGCCCTGTTCAACTCTAAAAAGAGCTCTTCTTAGTTAAGGAAGCTTTCAAACATTTTTAATTGCTCACTGAACTTTAATGAGACCATCATTCTATTTTCAGGAGACTTGATTTGAGTTTCTCAGTGAAATCTGCAGGCGTGTTTTTCCACACTTCCAAAGTTCAGTCTTAGAAGTTGGTTGTATTTTTAACTTCTTTCTGGATTCAGAAAATTCCATTTACAAATTTAGACTTATCAGTCCATGAAACCTCACTCCACATCTCAGATGTCCAGTTTCAGTGTTCTTGTGATTTTCCTGTCAGTGAGGCTTCTTAACAGCTACACATCCTTTCAGACCCATAGTGCTGAGTCGTCTTCTCACAGTGGAAGGATGGACAGAAACACCTGTGGATGTTTTCAGATCTGAAGCAGCTTGATTTTCTCCTCTCTCTCAAAGATGAAGGCTTTAAGTGCTGTTTATCTGATGGGGACAGTGTTGGTGTCAGGTGGTTGTTCTGTAATGTCAGGTGATTTGCTCTGTAACTTTGAATCATTTTTCAAACTCCAGTTTTGGAATCTCCTGTTTTTTTCACCTGTTTGCCTTTGACTTTCTCCTTCCTTATGCAGGTGGATTATCTAATATCTAATCTCTTCAAACGTATCTCTTTTAGACATTTTAGATGCACATGAGTTAGCAAGTTGTAGCAGCTAAGATGCCTTGAATCTTAAATTTAAGAGTCATGAGCTGGGAGGGTGGTGTCCAAGATGAAGGACCTTGTCAGGTTGCAATGCCACATTGTGATGCAGCCAGTCAGAACTCTCTCTATGGCGCAGCAGTAAAAGTGGACAGATGAAACAGATGTGTTTATCCCTAAGCTTTTAAGTCTCCTCAGGAAGAACAGGCACTGCTGTGAAACTGTGGACAATTACAACAGGGAACCATAGATGCTGATGGGAGTTTGATCCTCTCTAAGCCCACAATGAGTCCATATGAGTCAGTCACAATGGTGTCACCTGCAAACTTCATTATTTTGTTGGTGTGTTTGACTACATAGTCAGGGGTGAACAAGCTGTGTATCAGGGGGCTGAGGCAGCACCTCTGCTGAGTGCGCATGCTTCATCATTCTCACTCTCTGCTGTCTGTTGGTCAGGATGTCCAGTACCCAGTTGCAGATGGAGCTGCACAGCCAGGCTGCTCAGCTTTAACACCAGTTTACAAGGAACAGCTGTTAAATGTAGAGCTGTAGTCAGTAAACCTCATCCTGAAGTAGGTATCTGTCTTGTCCAGGTGTGTCAGAGTGGGCAGAGTGAGTGAGACGGCATTGTCCACTGAACACTTGTGGTGATATGTGAACTGAAACAGGTCTGGAGTGGAGGGAAATTAGTGTTTATGAATTAAATTACTGATTTTTGCAGACACTTCAACGACACAGATGTCAGCATGAAGACAGAGATTGGTCAAAAATGTACTTGTTTTTCTCACCTTCAATTCTGTGACTTTTCTTGAATGTTGTAGCAACCCGCTACTGGCTTGTTCAGAGCGCACACATGCACAGGTTCCTGGGAGGCGCAGCTCCCAGTAAGCAACAGTATCCTCTATGACCTGCACAATGATTCCTGCGTTTCCTCCTTTGCCAAAACTTCATAATACTTTGATAGAAGTCCATAATGTGACATGTCAGGCCCTTGGTGAGTGGGTGTGGAATTGCAACACTGCTATGATTTTAAAAATGCAGGAACTGTTAATCTTCTGCATCAAAAATAGTTTTACAGACTGGATTTTTATTTGATTCCTGTTTTTAAACTGAATTACAATGATTTTCAAACAGAAAGTATTAAAAATGTATATTTTTTGGAAATACTACAGATTTCTTTGTGCATGTATTTATTCATATTAATTTGTCTCATAACATATTTATAAGTTTAATATTGCCATCAAATGCTATTTTTTTATTAGTTTTTGTTTTTAATTATTTATTTGATTGTTTGTTTAACTTGGATTTCAATTTTATTTGACAGGAATTTCAGGGTATATCAGAATTCAGGCACCATCCCCTCTCTGTGTGCCTAACTCTCTGAATGGCCAGATTTAATGACTGAGTCATTAACGAGACGAGATGAGATGTATGAGCATTAATCTTCATCGGCAATATACCATTTTAATGATGCTTACCCCATCTCTCTCTCTCTCTCTCTCTCTCTCTCTCTCTCTCTCTGTCTCTCTCTCTGTCTCTCTCTCTCTCTCTCTCTCTCTCTCTCTCCAGTCTCTCCTGAGGCGTCTCTGTTCCAGAAGAACTCTTCTTCTCCAGTGGTGTGTCATGCTACAGGTTTCTTCCCCAAAGCAGTGATGATCTCCTGGCAGAAGAATGGAGAGGATCTGCATGAGGACGTGGAGCTCAGAGACACGCTAACCAACCAGGATGGAACCTTCCAGAAGAGGAGCATTCTGACTGTCTCACCTGAGGAGCTGAACAAACACAACTACACCTGCATCATTCAGCACAGCAGCCTGGAGAAGGAGATAGAGCTGCAGGTGTCTGAACGCAAGGTCCTGCAAGGTAGAACAAAGTTTCATAAAAGAAAGTAACTGTATTTCAATTTCAGAAATGATTTGCTGGGGCAGAGAACAGATGTACTGATGTAACTCTGGTGTTTCAGATGGAGGATCAGTTGGTATAATCATTGGTGTGGTCGTGGTTCTCCTGCTTGTTGTCATAGTCTGTGTTGGAGTTTGGATGAAGAAGCAGATGAAGAAGCAGATGATGAAGCCCAGTGAGTGCAGAGATATGAACATGTTAAGTTTGACACAGAGTTATCAAAAACACAACATTTATTCAGTAAATTGATATTTAACATTTATTTCAGAATGTTTCTCTTTATAAGCTGAGAAGCTGAAAGGTGTTTTGGTAAATGTCTTAATGTGGAATTAAGGGTCATTCTGGACAGCTGTAGGTTTTATCTCATACATTTTACAGCACATAATTCTATAATGTGGAGCTGTATGTAATGAACATAGTCTTTGAATATTGATAATAATACACTGATCTCTATTTCAGATTTCACACTTGTTTCGAGAAGCCCCAGCTCAGGTAATGCAGCATTTCTGGATGTTTTTTATTGTTTAGTTCTCTTTTATAATCTCTCTGTGTCTTATTTGATGTATATTAATTTTTTTTTTTTAGAATCTGATTCTACATGAAGCTCCTCATCAACCACCTCCATCACCTCATCTGAATGATGATGATCTGCAGTTATACTGTACTGATAAACACAGCTGTGTGATCAATATCATGCTGAATCATGATCAATGCACTTGTAACCAGTTTCAATCTGTATTTCTTTCTCTCAGAATCTGTGTTGAAGGATTTCAGAGATGATTGGTTTAAGACTGATTTTGTTGTTAATATAGATCCTGATGAAGTTTAGTTCCATCTGATTTTGATCTTCAAAAATAGGAAATATTACTGTCAACAACAATTATACCACATTTATTGCCAGCTAGTTTATTTGTATGTGTGTGAAAAGCTTCTTCACCCTCTGTGATGATGTGTCTCTTATATTCTTTTCACACACACAAATGTAGCACATTTGATTGAGCATTTGTGTGTGTGTGTGTGTGCGCGTGATTTCTTCATATATTTCATATGTTGATTAGATAATTCATTTATTCATTTTTATATTTTTTTTCAAATCTGATCAAAAATAAAACAACAATAATGTCAATAAAAATGGAAGTGGGCTGTGATCATCCCTCTCCAAATCACCCGTCTCCAAATCACCCGTCTCCAAATCACCCGTCTCCACATCATTCATCTCCGAATCACCCGTCTCCATAACACCCATCTCCATAACACCCATCTCCAAATCACCCATCTCCAAATAAATTCTCTCCAAATCACCCATCTCCAAATCAGCCACATCACCCCTCTCCAAATCACCCCTCTCCAATACACCCCTCTCCAAATCACCTGTCTCCAAATCAGCCCTCTCCAAATCACCCCTCCCCAAATCACCCCTCTCCACGTCACCCCTCTCCACATCACCTCTCTCCAAATCACCCGTCTCCACATCACCCCTCTCCAAATCATCCGTCTCCAAATCACCCCTCTCCAAATCAACCGTCTCCAAATCACCCCTCTCCTCATCACCCGTGTGCAAATCAGCCATCTCCACATCACCCGTCTCCAAATCACCTCTCTCCAAATCACCCCTTTCCACATCACCCCTCTCCAAATCATCCATCTCCAAATCAGCCATCTCCAAATAAGCCGTCTCCAAATCACCTCTCTCCACATCACCCGTCTACAAATAACCCCTCTCCAAATCAAATTCTCTCCACATCACCCCTCTCCAGGTCACCCCTCTCCAAATCACCTCTCTTCAAATCACCCCTGTCCAAATCACTCATCTCCAAATCACCGCTCTCCACATCACTCGTCTCGAAATTACCCCTCTCCAAATAAATTCTCTCCAAATCACCCCTCTCCAAATAAATTCTTTCCAAATAAATTCTCTCCAAATCACCCATCTCCAAATCACCCCTCTCCACATCACCCCTCTCCAAATCATCTCTCTCCAAATCACCCATCTCCATATCACCCATCTCCAAATCACCCCTCTCCACATCACCCATCTCCAAATTACCCCTCTCCAAATCACCCGTCTCCAAATCACCCCTCTCCACATCACCCATCTCTAATCACCCATCTCCATATCACCCATCTCCAAATCACCCCTCTCCAAATAAATTCTCTCCAAATCACCCCTCTCCAAATCAACCGTCTCCAAATCAGCCGTTTTCACATCAGCCGTCTCCAAATCACCCATCTCCATATCACCCATCTCCAAATCACCCCTCTCCAAATCACCCCTCTCCACATCACTCATCTCCAAATCACCCCTCTCCACATCACTCCTCTCCAAATCACCCCTCTCCACATCACCCCTCTCCAAATCACCCCTCTCCAAATCACCCATCTCCAAATCACCCATCTCCATAACAGCCATCTCCAAATCACCCCTCTCCAAACAAATTCTCTCCAAATCACCCGTCTCCAAATCACCCCTCTCCAAATAAATTCTTTCCAAATAAATTCTCTCCAAATCACCCATCTCCAAATCACCCCTCTCCACATCACCCCTCTCCAAATCACCTCTCTCCAAATCACCCATCTCCATAACACCCATCTCCAAATCACCCCTCTCCAAATAAATTCTCTCCAAATAACCCCTCTCCAAATCACCCGTCTCCAAATAACCTCTCTCCAAATCACCCCTCTCCACATCACCCCTCTCCAAATCACCCCTCTCCAGGTCACCCCTTTCCAAATCACCTCTCTCCAAATCACCCCTCTCCAAATCACCCGTCTCCAAATCACCTCTCTCCACATTACCCGTCTCCAAATCACTCATCTCCAAATCACCCCTCTCCACATCACTCGTCTTCAAATTACCCCTCTCTAAATAAATTCTCTCCAAATCAGCCGTCTCCAAATGACCCGTCTCCACATCATTCATCTCCAAATCACTCGTCTCCAAATCACTCGTCTCCAAATCACCCGTCTCCAAATCACCATTCTCCAAATCACCCATCTCCAAATTACCCCTCTCCAAATCACCCCTCTCTAAATCACCCATCTCCATATCACCCATCTCCAAATCACCCCTCTCCAAATAAATTCTCTCCAAATCACCCGTCTCCAAATCACTTGTCTCCAAATCACCCATCTCCATATCACCCATCTCCAAATCACCCCTCTCCACATCACCCATCTCCAAATTACTCCTCTCCAAATCACCCCTCTCCACATCACCCATCTCCAAATCACCCCTCTCAACATCACCCCTCTCCAAATCATCCCTCTCCAAATCACCCATCTCCAAATCACCCATCTCCATAACACCCATCTCCAAATCACCCGTCTCCAAACAAATTCTCTCCAAATCACCCCTCTCCAAATCACCCGTCTCCAAATCACCCCTCTCCAAATCACCCCTCTCCACATCACCCCTCTCCAAATCACCCCTCTCCAGGTCACCCCTTTCCAAATCACCTCTCTCCAAATCACCCCTGTCCAAATCACCCATCTCCAAATCACCTCTCTCCACATTACCCGTCTCCAAATCACCCATCTCCAAATCACCCCTTTCCACAACACACATCTCCAAATTACCCCTCTCCAAATAAATTCTCTCCAAATCATTCATCTCCAAATCACTCGTCTCCAAATCACTTGTCTCCAAATCACCCGTCTCAAAATCACCCATCTCCAAATCACCCCTCTCCAAATCACCCCTCTCCAAATCACCCATCTCCAAATCACCCATCTCCATAACACCCATCTCCAAATCACCCCTCTCCAAATAAATTCTTTCCAAATCACCCATCTCCAAATCACACATCTCCAAATTACCCATCTCCAAATCACCCGTCTCCAAATCACTCGTCTCCAAATCACTCGTCTCCAAATCACCCCTCTCCAAATCACCTCTCTCCAAATCACCCATCTCCAAATCACCCGTCTCCAAATCACCCATATCCAAATTACCCCTCTCCAAATCACCCATCTCCAAATCACCCCTCTCCACATCACCCCTGTCCAAATAAATTCTCTCCAAATCACCCATCTCCAAATCACCCCTCTCCAAATCACTCGTCTCCAAATTACCCCTCTCCAAATTACCTATCTCCAAATCACCCGTCTCCAAATCACTCGTCTCCAAATCACCCATCTCCAAATCAGCCGTCTCCAAATCACCCATCTCCAAATCACTCATCTCCAAATCACGCATCTCCAAATCACCCGTCTCCGAGAAACTTACAGAGTCAGAGCTTTTCACAGTGGTGGTGATAGGAACCAGACGTCCACCTCTAACAGCTCCCTCACAGACAGTTACTACATGACATGGTTATGAATTCACTGCCTGATGACTGACACATTATTTTACCTTAGTTTAGAGAAAGTTTTGGCCTAAAATGTCTTGTTAATCCATTCATGGTGGAGGGATACATGCAGGACGTCGTGAGGCAAAACAGTCCACCCAAAACGTATCACTTTCAGATTTATGACTATTTTCCCAAAATGACCATTCCATATAAACTCAGAAGACTCGTGTAGGTTCACTGGTGGTTTTGAATAGTAATTAAAATGTCTATATTTGTGTTGTAGTCATGGCGACACCTGGTTCCTATCACCACCACTGTAAAGAAACCTGAACCTGAAGCCCCGTTAAGCTTTGACTTTGTAGATCAGTTAAAAGTGCTTTTGTAACTTTTTTTAATCGATCAATCAATCAATCAATCAATCAATCAATCAATCAATCAGTCAACCAATCAATCAATCAATCAATAAACCTTTATTTTGACTCAGAAGTACATTGAGGGTGACCTTCATTTACAGTGTAGCCGAGCAAATTAAACAGAAAATGAAAAAGTTGAAGTGAAATTTATCAACTAGAACGAGTGAAAATCAGCAAAACTAAAAGACGTATAAAACAATAAAAACATAAATAGTAATGTAATAATAAATAATAACGGCTGAAATAGGAAACAGGCAGAACCATTTCTCCATGTAAAGAAACATAAAAGCATTGAAATGGTTCTCTGTATACCTCGTGGCTCTAAACATTATAAGCGCATTATAAGCGTAAAAGCGCGCAACCTGCGTAAAAGCGCATTATAAGCGTAAAAACGCGCACCCTGCGTAAAAGCGCATTATAAGCGTAAAAGTGCGCAACCTGCGTAAAAGCGCGCAACCTGCGTAAATGCGCGCCCTGCGTAAAAGCGCGCAACCTGCGTAAAAACGCGCATCCTGCGTAAAAGCGCGCAACCTGCGTAAAAGCGCATTATAAGCGTAAAAGCGTGCATCCTGCGTAAAAGCCCCAGAGCGCGCTCGATCATAGCGTATCCACATGCTGAGTCTGAAGCCTGCTATCCAGAGTAAAGTGGCGAGTTCAGGGTTACAGTCGAGCCTTTCTGCCAAAAAACCCGGAATAATCCATCCAAACCAGCTGCTGCTGTGTCTGTTAAACCGGCGCGTGTCTGCATTTAAATACTCAGTATCAGCTGCTCAGAGTGAAACATACACAAATACAGCGCAGCACAGCAGAGGGACAGTTCACACAGCAGGATGTCTCAGTTTAGCCCGAACTCTTCAGCCCAAAGATCAGCACGGTCCAGAAATTAAGATGGACAGAAAAACTAAGTTGCGGGAGATTCGGGCTCGGTTGATTTACACCTCAGTACTTTTGGCCCAAGTCTGGCATATCGTAAGTGGCCCATTGCTGAAGTTACAGAAAACAGCCAACACTCGCTGTAAGGGTTAAAACCCTCATTTAACTATTTTTTTTTTCCGCCAAGTTGGTCATTTTCAAATGGACAGGCCAGCAGGAAGGTTTGAAGAGAAGACAAAGTCTCTTCAAGAAGACAAAGAACAGGAGGGTCAGTGATGTACTTTAAAATCATATGTACATACGCTGACATGATCACTGATGTGTACGTTTAGTTCAGTCAGATTAACTGTGTCTGATTATTGTTCCAGTACGGAAAATGAAAAGTTAGAACTATAGCTAATTATGCCGTTTTGGCACAACACTGGAAAAGCACAGGCTAGCTAGA